AAAATGTAAAACGGCTATAACTTTTGCATACGATGTTAGAAAAAAAACGTATAATATATCAAAATGTTTCAAAAATTAAAATTCTTCGAGATGTAGTTATGTTACTAGATCTACTAGTTAGGAAAATTTAAAAACTTAAATTTGGACATGTTTTGCAAAAAATGTAGGAAAAATGTAAAACGGCTATAACTTTTGCATACGATGTTAGAAAAAAACGTATAATATATCAAAATGTTTCAAAAATTAAAATCCTTCGAGATGTAGTTATGTTACTACATCTACTAGTTAGGAAAATTTAAAAACTTAAATTTGGACATGTTTTGCAAAAAGTGTAGGGAAAATGTAAAACGGCTATAACTTTTGCATACGATGTCAGAAAAAAACGTATAATATATCAAAATGTTCAGCACGAAAATCCGCATACGATGGAGACCGACTACGGCTTGTTTGCAAATTTTTAGAATCCTCAAATTCTAAAAGGAAAAAAAGTTATGCTCAAATTTCAGCTTTTTTTAATTTTGGTCAAATCTGGTCAAACTGTGGTCAAACTACTTATTCAAGAAGTATCAGTGTTACTAAATAATTATTCAAGAATATTAGTGTTACTAAATAATTATTTCAGTTTTTTGGAATTTTGGTCAAATCTGGTCAAACTTTGGTCAAAATGTGGTCAAACTCCTTATTCAAGAAATATTAGTGTTACTAAATAATTATTGTTTTTTAGAACAATAGATTTAAACTCAAACAGCGAAATGTGTGACTTCATGCTCAAGCTAAACTTTCAAGGGTTAATAGGATTGACATCTTACTATTGTCAGGAAAACAAGAAGTGCAGACTTGGAATCGAGGGAGAATAGAACCCGAAAGTTAAGCGTGCTCACGCTGGAGTAGTGAGAGGATGGGTGACTGTTCGGGAAGTTAGATGATTTGGAATGATGAAGGGTGATTAGAGATTAAATTAAGCAGCGATGAGGGTGATTAGAGATTAGAGGTTAAAATAATTCAGAAATTTGAAAATTCACGCAAAAAATTCGAAAAAAAATTCCAGACAGATTCAGACATAGGTCTGGGTATGTTAGGCTTAGGTGAGAGGTCTGGGTATTTGGCCCAGCTTGCACCCCCTTCATCATATGGATAGGAGTAGTGGCAGATGTTGCCAAGATGACGGATTCAGACATATTGTTGTACTACTTTGTAAGGTCCTCGAGAATAATCAATAAAATGACCGTATGCATCTCCCAGATGCAGAGGCCGGAGGTCATCCTCCTTTTCTAAAAAAAAATCAAATTGTCTGTAAACTGCAACTAAACTTTTGGATTCACATTGAACTTGGGTTCAACAGGGAAGTCCGGCTGAAATTTGAAGTCTGATACGTTCCCCCGTCAACCAAAACTTATCTAAAACCAATCATTCACTATCCATCTTGAGTCACACTGCAGCTCATGACCATGGTGGCTGTCTCGGAAAACTTTTCGAAGATCATGCATGCTCCCATTTTCAAGCTTCAGTGTTTTTTTTTTTGCGGTTTTTTTTTCAAGCTTCAATGTTTGACGTGCACCTTTGGTCAGCTGATAGGCCAAGTTAAACCGAGCGACCAAGAAGCATATGCAAGGCCATCTGGCCCCTGCTGTTTCCAAGAGCTAAAGTTTACTGCACCAAACACCATTTACACACACGCATTCCATTAACTAGCCGACTACGGATGGATCATGCGTGCACTCGTTAAAGTTACCTGCACCAGACTCGTCTACGCATGCATGTATATATATGCATGCTCCCGAATTCTAGTGTGCTCCTACCATGTAGAAGTGTGAGTGCAACAACCATGGAAAGCAGCTGGGGTGTTGGTGGCGTCGTTTGCCATCTCCAGTGCGAGATCAGCTCCGTCGAGGTCACGGGACTCGGCTGCACCGGTGGTGGCGCACGAGCACTCTTCCTCCGGTGCCACGTTCCCGCGGGCGGCGGCAGGACGATCCAGATCGACAGCCAAAGCTCCGAGGCCGAGCGCCGCGCCGGCGACCGAGCCACATCGACCGACGTGGTCTCGTGGCGCGACGTGGCGTCGCTGGCGTGCGACGGCTCGCCGGCGTGCGTGCGGGAGCTCGCGGACACGAGGAGCGTGGTGTTCGAGGTGCGGAGGAGGCAGAAGAAGATCATGGGGCGCGCCGGGTCGTCGGAGCTGCTTGGCCGCGCCGAGGTTGCATGGAGGGACGTGGGTGACCCCGCGGTGGAGCGGCGAGCCGCGCTTGCCGTGTCCGGCCGGAGCAAAGGCGGGACAGCCCGGAACGATCCCGCGCCGGTGATGTCGGTGAGGATGAGCGTGCGCGTGTTGGAGACGGCTGCGCCCGTCCGCCGGACCTGCGTGGACTCGCAGCGGGAGACTTATGGCTGTGAGTGGAGCGCCGGAGGGAGCGACGATGCGTACGGAGTGGCTGCGTGCGGCATAGCAGATGACGCGGGCGAGTAGTTCGGTGTTCGGGAGTTTTAGCTTATCCCTAATCCTAAAATTCCAGAAGTTTATCCCTATCATATTTTCTTCAAGATGCGTTCAGGGAAATGAAGGTTACTCATCTAGCAGATCGTTTAAAACCTAATCCCCATAATACATAGTATTTGAATCACGCATTTTATCGAACATCTACAGCGCACACGCGTATAGTCCACAATCACAAGCTTTTCCATTGGGTAAGCCAGCTAGGGATGCTGTTCTCAAATTCTTGATCAAGTTATAAGAAAATTCACAAGTTTCTACAACAAAAAACTACACTTAAATATGGGGGTGAAGAACCAACCGGAGGGATGGGTGCCGCGAGTCAGCAGGCCATCACCGTGAAGCGGTGGCGGCAGTGCTTTTTTTTTAGAAAAGGAGGATGATCCCCGGCCTCTGCATCTGGGAGATGCATACGACCACTTTATTGATTATTCTCGAGGACCTTATAAAGTATTACTCCGTCCCGAAAAACATGTCGCGGGCGCAGTTCATTGGTGATTTTGCAAAAAGCCCTCGTAGTTTTAAAATCGTCTGCAAGAAGCCCCTCCGCCCCCTGTCTCCTTCCTAAGTCGTCGATAGGGGCCGGCGCTGCCCAGCTGCTGCCGTCGTCGTCATCTCCGCCCATCAGGAAGTGCTCCGCCGCCGTCGCCAAGTACCTGCTCCGCCGCCGCCGTCGCCAAGTACCTGCTCCACCGCCGCCGTCGCCAAGTACCTGCTCCGCCGCCGCCGTCGCCAAGTACCTGCTCCGCCGCCGCCGTCGCCAAGTACCTGCTCCGCCGCCTCCCCCACTCAGACCTGCATCGCCGCCCCGCCTCGATTACCTGCGGGCGCCGTCGGGACCTCCGGCCACGTCCTCCTCGAGCTCACGGGCGTCCTTCTCGAGCTCACGGGCGTCCACCTCGAGCTCCAGCGCATCCTCGTCAAGCTCCAGCGCATCCTCCTTGAGCACCCGCGTGTGCGCCGCCGCAATTCCTCCCGGCTGCGATCCCCTACGGGTGTCGCCGGAAATTGCCTCCACGATCCGGTGGACCAAGAGCTCGCGCGCTGCCTCCTCGATCTCCCGTGCGTCCTCCTCAATCTCCCAGGCGAGCCCGTGCAGCTCCTTCTCCTCTGCCCGCGCGCCCGTGCGGCTGCTTCTCCCCTACCGCCGGTGGAGCTCCTCTGCCCGTACAGCTTCTGCTCGTCTACTAGTACTGCTGCTGCTCGTTTGCCCGTGCTGCCGCCAGAGCTCCTGCTCGTCAGGAGGAAGAAGGTACCGTAAGGAGTTGCTCCTCTGCTTCCTGTGCTGAATATGATCAGTGTACTGTAAGGAGTTGCTGCTCTGCTCCTGTTCGTCAGAAAGAACAATGTTAACTGAATATGATTAGTGTTAACTGGAAAAAATCAGTAGATATCAGCAGAGCAATTATGATCTGAACAAACACTGTCAAGTGCAAACTTGTAAACTGTACTCCAGGGAAAGGTATGGAGTGGATGTGGAGTGTAAACTGTCAAGTGTCAATTATGATCAGAGTATAATTCAGCCAGTCAAGTGTCAATCATGATCAAAGTATAATTCAGTCAGTCAAGTGTCAATTATGATCAGAGTATAATTCAGTTAGTCAATGGAGTGTAAACTGCCAAGTGTTAATTATGATCAGAGTATAATTCAGTTAGTCAAGTGTCAATTATGATCAGAGTATAATTCAGTCAGTCAATGGGAATTTATAAAGCTCTTTATCTTCATCTTGCTCTGTTATGGGGACATGGCAGACCAAAACCTCACAGTTTTTAGGATTCATTAGTCTCCAAACCTAAACAATAGAAAGCAACTTGGTGTTAGGATCGACAACCACCACTACCAAAATTCCTATTCGGCCTAGTTGTAGTTGTAGATCCAAACCAAACAGACTACTCGGCGCCATGACGCAAACATGTGCCTAACAGAAGATGGGAATTGATGATAGTCAACATCTTTGGTAAACCAGGCATTAGATAATCAACTTCAAGAATTGTGTATTTTGCATGGTCCCCTTCCACACACCCGGACTAACGATAACCATGTTTCTATCTAGAGATCAGACGTTCATATATTTTGTCTTATTTAAAGCTATATAAGAGAACCTTATTTTTTAGAAAGAGTTGATAAGAGAACCTTCTTTTGGCTGCAATTTCCATTGTACATTTACTCTGCCATTTCATCAAGTGCTAGTAGAATTTTCCCCAACATGTCTGAATGTCAGATCTATGTTACGAAGCTGGCTTATCAAGCTATATCAAGGAATGTAAGCTTTTCTTTAAAAAAAGGAATGTAAGTTGAATAGCATGAACCAAAGCAAAACTCTAATGTAACTGTCCAAAACATGACACATGAAAGATGTCTATTAATCTAATGCAGGTCACAAACTCCATTGTTAGGTTTTTGAAATTTCAGTAATGAAAGTTTGTGTACTGCTGATCATGTGGCACTGCTACAAAAAATGGCTTATGGTTATGGTTAGAGAAAAGTGTTTGGCTGCCATGGCAGCATTTCTTGTTTGGCTACCGTGGCAACCAAACTAGAAATGGTGCCATGGCACCTATTTCTTGTTTGACTTGCATACTCATTTTGTGTGTGTATATTCTTTTTATGGTACCATGGTGTACTCATCTTTTGTCATTGATGGCAGGAAACATAACTATGGATTTGAACTTGATGCCTCAAAAGGAAGAACATGAAACTATTGATTTGAACTTGATGCCTCAAGAGGAAGACGATGAAGGTATTAATTTGAATTTGATGCCTCAAGAGGAGGAACCTCAAGTGGCAGAGAATGTAGTTATGGATTTGAACTTGATGCCTCAAGAGGAAGACGATGAAGATATGAATTGGATGCCTCAAGAATATGAAGGGAAAGAGGATGCAGCTCAAGAGGAAGAGGATGAAGTTATGAATTGGATACTTCAAGAGAAGAGAAGAGAATTGTCAGATAAGGAGAGGCGTGGTGTTTACTTTGCCTTGCTGGTAATCGAGCTCAGAGATGGGTCTGTTCAACCAGACGACAAGCTGCTAGTCTCAAACCTGTTGGACATAAGTGTACGATTTGTTGAAAGAATCTGGGAACAGGCTAAAAAGCAAATTGCCGATGGCAAAGAAGTAGATGTCTCAAGCAAGAAGCCAGGAAGATCCGGCCGAAAGAGAAAGGAGCTAGATCTAGAGAGGACCTCAACAATCCCACTGAATAAAAGAAGAACAATTCGATCTCTGGCACGGTCTCTAGGTGTGGCCCGATCCACCCTACATAAGAGGTTCCAGTTGAATGAGCTCAACCGCATCACAAGCACCGTGAAGCCTCACCTCAAGCTAGAGAACAAGCTTGCGAGATTGAAATTTTGTATGTCCATGGTCGATGACAATTCGATCTCAACTTCTCGGGCTATGTTAAAACCAATGACGAATATGGTTCACATCGATGAGAAGTGGTTTGACATGATGAGAGTGAAGAATAGTTACTATGTACTTCCAGGAGAACCTGAACCGAAGCGCACCGTGTCAAACACTCACAACATTGGGAAGGTGATGTTCCTAACAGCTGTTGACAAGCCTCGATATAACAATGAGGGGGAGCTAACATTCGATGGGAAGATCGGCATTTGGGCATTTGTCGAAGAGACTGAGGCGAAGCGGACAAGTCAAAACAGAGCAAAGGGAACAAAAGTGTTGACATCAGTGAAAGTAACCAGGCCTGTGTGCAGAGATTATCTAATCAATAAGGTTATCCCGGCAATTCAGGATAAGTGGCCTGGCGATGATGAGGGAGCGACAATATTCATCCAACAGGATAACGCAAAGCCTCATGTCCTTCCCAATGATGTAGCTTTTCGAGAAGCTATGGAACAAATTGATCTTGACATCCGATTGCTACAACAGCCCCCAAATAGCCCTGAGTTAAATTGTTTGGACCTCTGCTTCCATACCTCTCTCCAGTCTCTAACCGACTGCAGGTCACCTACAAACATCCAGGAACTGGTACAGGATGTGGAAGAGGAATTCGAGAACTATGATCCCGACAAGTTGCACAGAAGCTTTATCACATTAGAAGCAGTTATGTTTGAAGTTATGAAAGCAAAAGGAGGAAATCAATATAAGTCACCCCACTTGCACAAGGATCGCGTTCAGAATGCTGGAATGGAAATAACCGGTGTATATTGCGACAGTCGGGTAGTTGTTGATACGAGGGCCATTATAGAAGAAATGGAAATTGCAATAGGAAAAGAAAATGAAAGGAAAGAATTAGCTAGAGAAGGGAAACGAAAGAAAAGTAAAGGGAAGGGAAGGGAAGAAGTGGCCAGAGAAAGGAAAAGAATGTAGTCAAGAGGGGGCAAAGAGGCCCTTATGTCATGTAGTCAGGTGCTCCTTGTGTATGTCTTGTGTAATCTTGTGTCAAGAGGGGACAAAGATGCCCTTATGTCATGCCCTTGTGTATGCCTTGTCTAATCCTTGTATATCAACTCCTTGTTGGAATTTATTGGAATTATCTGGGTTATTTTGATTAATTGAATTATCTGGGTTATTTGAATTAATTTGGGTTATTTGAATTAATTTGGGTTATTTGGATTAATTTTAGTTATTTGAATTAATTTGGGTTAGTGGACTGAAATTTTTGCTTGACAACTACAACAACTAATGAGGCAAGCAAGGCCTTTGCTAATCCCATATCATCAGTAGATGATATGTACTGATGATATGGTATGAGATTATCTTCTACTGCAATTGCAATCTAGCTTTAGTAAAAAAAAGCAAGAGTCCCTTGTATGGAGTTAACTGAAGATTGAACATGTTCTAAAGTTTTGAAATAAGAGGTCCATTTAGCATGGAACAAATAAAAGGATAGTGGATGACAAGAATCTAGCATATCACATGGGATGGATCAGCTAAAATAAGAAAGACCATCTCAAGAATAGTCACAAGGAGTATTACTGTATATTCTAATTTACTGAAATTATTGGCATAACAA